CACTTGTTGAAACAGAAAAACGAACAATAGATTCACTTTTCTTTTTATAAGAGAATCAACAAAAGAAAAGCAAGCAACTTATTTTCAATTTTTTTTTTCACAATCCTTATATTAATCATACAATGCAGAATATGACACTTTTTTGGTTGCATACTATGGTAACACATATCTCTACTAATGAACAACAACATATAAGTGATAATTTATAAATATAATATGGAAATATTGTGATCTACACTTATTAGCAGACAGTCATTCAAACAGAAGCCTTCAATTGCATCAATACAATTGCTTACCATCGTTCGGTGTAAAGAAAATGACATGAAGCGAGTCAAAATATGAAACAACATGTATAGGTGAATGGATGTAAAAAGTAACTGTTTTAAGCATCATTTAGTTTCATCCAACTGAACACTGATTCATTTCACGTTTAACGTGAATATTTCAATTCTCAATAGAAGGAAAAATTATCCTGATTTAACAGTATTATGTTCATTTCAACAATCAATTTTTTACATAGACAGTATAACTGAATTTACATCAACATGTGTATACGTCAAACTATTATCGAATAAAAGTTATCAACATAGTATGAGTAAATATTTGACGAAATCCATATAAATGTTGTTTTTATCACTGAAGCATATGTAAACCATATAAATCAACATGTGCAAAAAAGACCGCATTGATCATGGTGTACAATATGACGATGTAATCAAAAATTAGTTGCAGAAAAATCTTTTTTTTTGTGTATCGTTTTTTTTATTCTTCAATTTTCATCATTCATTAAAGACAAAAACAGACGACATTCAAGTTGTTCAATTGCTATGTATTTCTTTTATACGGATGAAATTTATGCCGATGTTTGTGTTCTTGTATTCTAGCATTGTTTTGTAGTTCCGAAGATTCCACTGCAGGCGATTCTGTTGTGACAGTTGTTGAAGTAGGACTACACTGCAACTTTAATGTATACTTCGGTATTACAATTTTTAGTTCCTTGTCTTGTTTTATTTTATATGTCTCAAGTTTCTTCTGAACTTGATTGAGTTGGGTTAACACAGATTTCATTCGTTCTGGTTGAAATATAGCTTCTCTGGTAAGAGTTTCAATATCATCATTGATAGTTTGTAATTCCAAATAAATCTTATTTAAATATCCCTAAAACGAACGTACAAAAGAAAAAGATTTATCAATCATTAAATTACTTCAGCGTCCTGTTTGGCATTTTCAATATCGGAAATGATCATCTGATACGCTTCTAATAAGTTGCTTTGATAAGTTTTGAAGCATTGTTTGATTTCCTCAGTTGAATTTGAAACTTCCTGTCGAACCATGCCTTGTTTTGTTTGAAACAATTGTTCTAATGAATGATATTGCTGAGAAAATTGAGCTACACTGTACCGTAATTCATTAGTGTGATCCTTTATACAATTTGAACAGAATGGTCGTGAGAAATGAGTACATGTGCACATAGATTGTTGCATTCGTTCATTTCTACTTTCACACATTGAACAAGAAATAAACTCTGCAATTGTTCCTTGTGTTATTCCCACATAGTTTCTTTTTTTGCAAATGTTTCAGTAGAAAAATTTCTTTTGATGAAAAATTGTTTTTATTTATGTGAAGGAAGTAAAAAGGTCTCCACTGTAAAACAAGAATTCACTCCGTTAATATTTTTCTTTCGCCTCTACGTTATTACAAGTATAATCTTCACTGTTTTCACTAGACTGCATATGCATCCTGCCATTCCTAGTATATATATTCCTTCGCGCTATCTATAATTTCTTTATGGACCATAAATTTATGTATTCTTTTATATACGTAAGAGAAGTTGGGTGTGGATTCGAGTATATCCGTGTAGGCTTAGTCTAGGAACATGTTAAACAGCTCATATTCATGTTCCAAATAGAACTCGATAAGCTCTATGTAATGGTGCAATCAGCTTTTCCATAGGTCGAACCATGCTCCCAGAAATAAAAACCTATTGATATTTTCCTATTGAAGCTTTGGATCCAGATTCGAGTAATTCCATGGGAGATTTGTCCAGAGACATGTTTCAATTGTTCCATTTATGTTCCAAGCACAGCTCAACGAGCTCTATCCAACGGTATGGTCAGATTTCTAATAGCTCAAAGAATGACTTTTGGGTTGATAGATGGCGCTAGAGGAAATCTGAAAGTCATACTGTGGTTTATATGAAATCCAAGCATACCGTTGGATAGAACTCATTGAGTTGTGCTTGGAACATAAACGAAGCAATTGAAACATGTCTCTGGACGCATTTCGTACGAAATTACTCGAATCTGGATCTAAAGTTCCAATAGGAAAATATCAATATTTTTTTAATTTCTGGAAGCATGGTTCGACCTATGGAAAATCTGATTACACCGTTTGATAGAGCTTATCGAGTTCTACTTGGAATATGAATATGAGGTTTTTAAAATATTCCTAGACAAATCCTGCAGGGATATACTCGAATCCAGACCCAACTTCACTTACGTCTTTTATATATATATCGAGGTGGCTAGTCGTCTGGTCGGATATCCCAATTATTTATTCAACATGCAGCTTCTATAATATATCAGAATGATATAATTTTTTATCAGTTATAGTACTTGTATAGTATTAACTATTTTTTATAGCTTTGATTGTGTTTCTTATCCGGCATCAATGTAATCAAGAGCCTACGTAAAATCTTTTGATAAAATGAACTTTTATTAAAATTTTCCGTTTATTTTAATTTTTACTGGACTTTTTCACGTTCGATTCAAATGGTTCTAACTTAATTAGACTATTTATTGCACAAGTGCAGTTATTAAAAATATTAATCAACGCATTCAAAAATAGGCTATTTTAGGATATATTTACAGGGAATTTTTTGATGACTTTCATACAACTACTAAAATTACACATGTTGTTTTTTTATTTATGTAATCTTTACGTAGGTGCACTTCCTATTCGTAGTTATAGATCATGATACATGATCTAAGTGAATAAACTTGATAAGTGTATTTTACGTAGACTCTTGATTATATTGATTTTAGATAAAGAACACAATCAAAATTATAACAAATAGTTAGTATTATACAAGTACTATAATTACAAGAAAAATTATATTATTCTTATGAATTATAGAAGCTGCACGTTAAATAAATAATTGGAAAATCTGACCAGACTGGGCACCAATATATATATATTAACCATCACATCTGAAACTCTTTTATTTTATTGTTCATGTTTTACTACAGGATGAGATGTAAAATTGCATGAGACATTTTACTTGTTGATGACATCATGCAGTTTTGGATGACATATTATTTGAGTTTATTACTTTGACTGAATTAGATACTTTCATTTACAGTTATAAAGGAAGTTAATTCATTCTAAACTAAATTATATATTGTATACAGGACATTAAATAAAGAATAGCAAGTAAAACTAATTTATTTATGTAAGCCATAATTAAATACCACAATAAAAGACAAAATTTCGTGTCTTAAAAATATTCTATTACTGTACTTGTCATAAGATAGTCATCACATCTAATAGTTGTTCAATCTATATTTCATATGGCAATAGTTTTATCAATTTCATAAGTAGTGTTCTGTTTCAAAATTTCTAATAGATTCACAAAATCAAAGAATTGTCAAAAACCTTATTCTATGCAGAAGTTTATTACATATTGATGATAAGATATTAACTTCAAGAAAGTTCAAACAACATTGACTTATTCATAATTAGGATGATGTATTTGAATATTACTCGATTACTTGATTATATTGATTATGAGATGACAAATCAAAGTTTCGAAATATAGGTTTTTAGAAAGACTTTCCTAATAAAGATCCAACAATGTCAATAGACATTCCCTTACCATTCAATAAAACTAAAGTAAGATTTATAAGTATCGCAGACAATGTAAGCCGGTAATACTAATCTTGGTGCGATTGCTTCCATGTGAAAGATCTTATGATAGTTTGCTTAATCTTCTTTTTAAGATAAATACAAGTGTTTGAAAGGAATAGACTTCTATGGGATCATAAAGCGCTCATTATATTACTTTGCCTTATCTATTCTTGGAATTTCATCAATCTTTTGAAAAATAATTTTGATTTTCATCCGTCAAAATTTAGAAAAAAGAAGAAAAATCTTTAATATTTATTTTCATAGATCTACTGAATTGCAGGGATCTCTGACAAAATGTCATACTAAAATTTCAATAGAAACTCAAATCCTTTTAGGTTTTTTAATAGAATACTTCGTAATAGCTCTCGTCAAGAAATTCATTCAAATCGAATGGAGACATCTGGGATGTTCTCTCGTTAGTAGTTTGAAAAACTGTGAATAATTTCATAGAACTGCAGCAAGTATTTAATTTTTAACATGTATCATGACATTCAATCAATTGCTGATTGTTTCTTAAATAATAAAAAATGAAATTTTGAAGATCTTTGTTGAAACTAGAAAAGAAACGATTTCTTTCATTTCTTTTAGCCAGAGAAACGATGATTCATATGTCACTGAAACGAACTAATCGTATTATTGTTTTTTCTCACCATGTATTAAACACTTGTTCTTTGTATTATCTATTGTTCATCAATATCAAATTTCTTTAATTTCTTAATATTCTTATTGTAAAGTCATGCATGCTAGTCAGAAATTTCAAGGTGCTAAACCACCTCGGTAAGAATTTAATTAAATTCATAAAAATTTCATTTTCTAACTATTTATATTCAGCATTCCAACTCGATCTGGTATTGTTCAACAACCAACACAAGTTGCACCAATTAAACGATTAGCAAATAATACACCAGTAACAAAAACAAGAGCCTCAACTATGGTCAAATCACAATGTTAGTTTATTATTATTAAATTGATATGATTTTAAACAATTTTAATAGCATCTTTGCTCAAATCATATTTATATTTGTTTATTTCAGCTGCATACAATATACCAAGAGCATCGACTGTAACAGTCACTGCTCCAGTTGTATCACAAATGAAAAAAGTTTGTTGCTAACGATACTAATATAAAAATAAGATTGAATATGTCATTTGTTTTTCAAGTCAATTAGTGAACAAGATCTTGTTAATGTTGTACCTCGAACACAAAAATCTCGATTTGGCTTTGTTAAAAAACCTGCCGAATTAGCCGGTTTGACTTTTAACTTCTATCAATCATTTCTATTTTATAGTTTTTTAGCTGTTCGAGAAGATCCACCACATGTCTCACCAGTAAAACCTGTTGCTTCATCACGTATTAGTGGTGCTTGGAAAAAAGTTTTTATCATTATTGAAAAAGAAACTAATTTAGCTAATTAGATAAACATCTTTTATTTAGAATGGTGATGATTTAGTTGATGAACGTGATCGACGTGAACTTATTCTTGCTGAAAATGAACTTCTACAAATAGTCTTTACTAATCAATTATTTAATGAAATTGTTCAATCAAATCGACAATTGCAAACAGTAGGAAATATTATTTCAAGAAGAAAACAAATTTTTTGTTTTCTTTAAAAAAAAAACATTTAGGCTCGTTTTGGTAAATTACATCGTGCTGCATATCGAATAATTAATGATATTAATAATTTACAAGAAACAAGAAAAAAAGCTGTTGTAGATAAAATCGTTGGAAATATTATTAAAACATTAGTAAATTTTATTTTATTATCTTCTATTGATCTTGTATAATATTTAATTCTTTTGTCTTTTTTAGGGTGAAACATTAAGTAAAATTGTTCGTTTATTTAATGATTATGATCAAAAACAACAAACACTTGATATTTGTCTTTCAAATAAACTCGATCGACTTAATATTCAATCTGTAGTGAATGATGTAACAGATGAAAATAAAGGTATTATAGTATTTATAATAAAACATCAAGTCGATTATTTTTTCTCATATTGATAGAAAATTGGAATCGTACATGTGATCATCTTCTTGAATTAATTGAAGCAAATGAATTAGCACAAATGAATACAATGGATTTAGAAACTTATTCAAAATTAATACATGAACTTGACTCAACTATTGATTCATATAAACATACCATTGCAAAGTAAAATTCTTGTCTATAATTTCTAAAAGTTTATGTCTTGTTTTATAGTCATAAACATGTAGTATCCTCAAGTGAAAAAGCTATGTTACAAGTGTGTGTTCGTCTTATTGATCAATATAACAAAAACAAAAAATGAATATTATTATTATCTGATTCTGAACATTTCATACATTTTTTTTTCTTTAATATAATAGTCATCATATAGTTTCTTAAATAAAGAAAAAAAGATCAATAAAATAATGCAACATTTTCCATCCAAAGAAAATTATTTTTATAATTTCGTTCTCATTGTCGCATGATCTTAAGAAATTTAAGCATTAAGATAGGTTTGTCAATGTTTAGACATTCAGTCTTATGGGAAGTGTTCATCAGTAGTGTAATACAGATATGAAGAAAATTCAAGTCTTTCTTTAATGCATCACTAGTGGCTATTAACAAACATTTTCTTCATTAGAAACATAGTTGACAGAATGTATCAACTAAATAGGCTCAAGCATTACTTAAATAACAGCTCGATGACTTGGTTAGGTCATTTTATTGCGCAGATTGAGACAGTAGCAAAGGTAACTATCTATGTTGTTATGGCTATAAGCAAGATTTTTTTGTTTTATTGACACATAGTAGTTTACAAACTAGGCAAGACCATCAAAAGATAAAAATATCTGCATCTGAACATTTGTCTTCTCTTTCGTGATGTTATCACTCCATTTTATTGAGTAACAAGACGATTTTCATAATCAAAGCTGTCAGAAAAAAACTAATAATAACTAAAGATAATATGAAGAAAGTTTATTTGTATTGTTATCTGAATTTCAAATAACTTCCATTGAATTTCGCAAAAGTCAAACAATATTGTAGCGCCCTCTATACACAGAAATGGCTTCCAATATATGACAATTCTACAGTAGCAAAACTGTCGCATTTCATTAATATTTTTATAAATTATCTTAATAGACAATGTATAATTTTTTTATGTTGACACATAATGCAATGTAAAGAGGAATATATAATCATTGGATTTTGTCCATCGATACATTTACTGTTTATTATTTTCATTTATTCTTTATTTAATGGAGATCAATAATAATATTACATCAAAACGTTTTCGTTCTGAGAATTCTTCTATTGATTATCATTCTATTTTATCCGACGATATTCATTCTTGTCCTTTTTGTACATTTAATACAAATTCTCAAGTTGATTTTGATTTTCATAGTCATATTCATCATCAACATTTATGTTCACAATGTTCCCATGTATTTCCTAGTTATTTTCTTTTGGATCTTCATATGGATGAAATGCATAATAATTATTCAAGAATTCGATCATATCGTTGTTTGATTGAATCATGTTCAAAAGTATTTTCTTCTCTTGAACAACGTTTTCAACATATAAATGATGAACATCATCATACAAAAACTCGTCATATAAATGATATATTTCTTTTATTTTCAAATCAACAAATGAATGAAATAAAAAACAAAGAACAGGACAAAAAATTTGGTTGTGATAGTCAAAAAACATTTATACGTAATTCAAGATTACAACCACGACAATTTATTGATATGAATTGGGATGGTGATGAAGGATAAAAAAATGTTGTTTTTTTATTTTTCTAGATTATTAAACGTCATTAACATCATGTCGGACACCGAGATGGACGAGACGCCACGCGCCTCGGATGAAGTCGACTTGAATAAGTCGTTACAAGAAGTACTTAAATCAGCTGCACGTAATGATGGTCTTGCACGCGGCTTACGAGGTAATAAAATTACATACTTCATTGTTTTGTTTTCTTTTTTTGCATAAAATCTTGGTTATTTTTCTATTTAAGAATCGGTCAAAGCTTTAGATCGACGTGAAGCTCATCTTTGTGTTTTAGCATCAAATTGTGATGAGCAAAATTATGTTAAATTAATTGAGGCATTATGTGCTGAACATAATATCAATTTACTACGTGTTGATGATAATAAAAAATTAGGTGAATGGGCTGGTTTATGTAAATTAGATAAAGATGGCAAAGCACGAAAAGTTGTTCGTTGCAGTTGCTGTGTTGTTCGTGATTTTGGTGATGAAACACAAGCTCATGATCAATTATTAGAATACATGAAGAAAAGCAAACAATCAGCATAGAAATAAATAAAAACATGCTTTTATGTTTTGTTTTCATACTGATTTATATAACCAGTTGATATTTGACATCAGTAAAATAAAAAGAAGAGAAAATTTAAGTATCAAATCAAAAATTTTCATCAATGAACATATGAAGTGAAATTTACTTTATGAAAATATAGAAGAGATGCACCCTTTGATTTTATTCATAATGTTCTAATATTTACTAGAAATTAAATTATTTTCGAATGAGATTAAGTTTGTTTTTTTTTGAAAATACAACGTATAATTATCTAAAACCATAATATCTTTTAATAGTTTTGTGTAAAAAAAAACAAAAACTTCGAAATTGTACAGATTCCAGGATCAACATAAAAGAAATCAAATAAATCTTTGAATCATTGCTAAACTACTCCATTATTAAAACAATACTTAGATAAACACTACTAAGAAATCAAATGGCATGACCTAGAAATGTTTAATATCCGACATACCTGAAGTCAAATATGCTCTTATCATATAAATTACATTTTAGAAAAATAAAGTGCATTGATCGCATTTCAAATTTTTCGAATAGTTTGTAAATCTCTAGTCTCTATTAAATGATGAGAGTTATTTAAAATATTCGAATCTAGTAGGTCAGATAACATGTATCCAGAGAAACTTGTTTAAAAACAACAAAGAATATTATCATTAGAAACTTATCTGTTTATGCTAAGCATATGTATTGCATTAATAATCATCCTATTTCGATATATGTTACAGATTACAATGAATTTTATGCTTTCATATTTATTGTTTGTTTAAATATATTCTTCTTTTTTTTACTTTTGATATAAAGGTAAGTGAAGCTCAAAATCTAAAAACTAAAATTTAAATCACAACAAAAAGGCAAAAACAGATATAAGAAAACCGTGCAACAATACTAATACTAATCGGGGGAAAAAAAAGAAAGACGATATTGATTGTTTATTTTTCCTATGGAGTAGGAATAATAGTCACATGTTGGTGAATTTCTTCTAATATGCTATCAGCACCCATTTGCATGAGTTTAACAGCAAGATTCGTACCACATAATTCAGCATTTTCTAATACTGTTTCATTCATATTCACACCACATACATGAGCATAATGACGAAGTAAAGGTACAACTTCAGTTGTTGCTATCGGTAGTGAGGATAAAGATGATTGTGGTATAGAAGTTGGAGAAATGAGAGTATCCATAGAATTCGTATTTGATTCAGTAGGTTCTTTTTTTGAATTCATACGATTTGAAGATACATCTATTGATTGTATACCATCCTCAAGTAATGAAAGATCATCATCTGTATGCGAAACAAAAAATGTTGAACCATGTTTTGTTGTTGTCATTGGTATAGTTAAATCAGAATTTTCAATACGATCTTTAACAAAACGTGATCCATCAAGATTAAGTAAAATACCATCAATTAATAATCCTTTTTCATTGTATATTGTACGTACAGCATTAGGAATACTACAACCACCACCAACTGTAAATAGAAAAAATAAATATTAACGAATATAAAAATTGAAATCATTAGATTATATGTAATAGATTATACTGATTGTCAATAGATTTTTCTTTAATGTCTTACATATTTCTTCTAGCATTTTTTTTTAAAAGTCTATACGAGAAAAAAAAGATTTAAAATTCTTATAAATAAAATCTGTTTATAGGTTTGATACAAAAGAAAAGAACTATATGTTTTCTAGAATTTATTATAACTACTATAATATCACTTTGTCAAAGAAAGAAAAATAAAAGAGCTTTTCCACTCTGGAGATCCCATAACACATACTTCGTCTGAGGAAAGCTCGTTCAGCAATACAACGAATAACTGATGGTTCATGATTAAGTACAGACAACATTCGAATCGTATCAATATCATTATGTCGACATTCAATTCCTAATGCCCCTTGTCCAATTGCATAAAGAACTCTATCAGGTTCAATTATTTCACTTATTCTATCTGTCCATTTTAATCGTTGTAAACCGGCAACAGCTGCAATCATTGCATCATATCCAAGTTCTCGATTATTTAATTTTTCCCAACGTGTATTCATATTTCCACGTATATTTTTATATATAAATTGAGGATAATTTAATTTAAGTTGTGCTATACGACGTGTTGAACTTGTACCAATAACACTACCATCTGGTAATTCATTTAAATATTTTTTATTATGCCATGGTGCAATAACCACGGCATCACGTGGATCAACACGTTCAAGTATTGCACCAATTATCATATTTGGTGGTAAAACAGTAGATGGAACATCTTTTAAAGAATGTACGACAAAGTCAATAGTGTTGTTATTAAGTTCAACTTCAAGTTCTTTAGTAAATAAACCTTTATCGCCAATATTTGCAAGTGGATCTAAGAGATTTTTATCTCCTATTGTTTTAATTTTAATTACTTCATATTCAATATTTGGATAGAATTTATGAAGTTGTTCAATAACACTAGAAGTAAAGAAAAACAAGAATAGAATTCAAACAGAAAAAGAAACATTGAAATCTACCTTTCAGTTTGTACAAGTGCTAATTCACTTTGTCGAGTGCCAATTCTATATTTTGATCTCAATGGCACATACTGCATAATAGATATTGTATCGTAATATATATATATACCTTCTGGCTTTTTCAAATTTCCTATCTGAAAGATAAAATTGAATATTTATTTCATACTTTCAAACAAAACCAAATCGATTTTATGAAAAAGAAAATTGTTTATTAGATATTTACAAATATATTGATGAAAATTTTGTAAGTATTGGAACTTGTCATTCAAGATATTATGCTAAACATAGTCTAAAAATTTAGTTGCAATTGTTAAATGATATCTCCTCTATATTCATCCAATATAGACGTGAAGAATATGTCAAAATAATTCATGAGCCTTCTTGTTATTAATGATGATTTTTCAATATCAGAGGCTATTAATTAGAGATAACAATAAACAATCAAGTATTACCATCCTATTAAAAATTCAATTTTACATTTTGGTAAAAATACTCGTTCAGCTAACAATCAATTTATGATTTAAAACACTAACCATTTGAAAGTAGCATGTTCAGTTTGTATCATAGACAAAGTCTTCATGTGACACGATATTCCAATTAGTATTTAAACTTTCATGTATATCATTAAAACCGAATTGCGAATACTGTTAAAACAAGGCCATATTGATTTCAACGTGTGGCAGCAAATTATTTCTATAGATAAGGAATATAATCAACATTCATCATTTCCTTGAAAATTATTTTATAAAAAAAACAATGCATCAAATCCTAATTTATATGTATCTTGTATATCCAGGCACTTCTATTTTGGTATTAATATAAAACATTCTTTAAGTTAAGAATAATGTCTTATATTTATAAAAATACTTTTTTGAGTCACGAATTTGGCAGAATATTAACCACTTATTTGATTATAAAATCACGTAGACCATGTACAAACTATGTTTTTTAAAACATTAAATGATGATAAAGAAAACGTGTAAAAACAAAATTCAATTATCTACTCGCTATTGAGACTCCTAATATGTTGATTATATTTTGTGAGGATTCTATTACCATGCACTATTAAATAGAAAAGATTAGATTATATAAGATTAAGATAAAGAAAATGTATCATACAAGAAAAAAGGAATTTTGTTTTTTTTATATGGTAACATATTGATAAACGAAATTTTCATCATACCAACACGTCTTGTTTTTTTTTTATATTATCAATCGGTTGTCTATAAACGGTCCTAGTATGATATTAGCCATATTTCTATATTCAAGTAAACCGATGATTCATTTATACCAATAAACAAACAAGCTAAATCTAGGAATCAATATAGAGCGTCCTCATTTGAAACTTTCAAGGGGATGCCGCCACATATAGGGAAAGGAAGCTCATATAAAATAATACTATGATGCCGATGACTGTTCTACTATTCAACACATGAAGTAATTGGTCAAATTTTAATAATAAAAAAACTTATTCTTTTATTCAACTAAGATTTTGCAAAGTGGTATATGTCGTCTTTCAGAGTTTAATTTGCTTTGTGAGATTCAATTGTCTAAGTTAAAAGAATTTCAACAAAGATTTATAACAAGACTATATTCTATTTTGATTATAGATAATGCTACATACAATCTTGAACAAAATCAGTTGCTGTCATCCAAAAGTGCTACTATGCTTTATGATATTCAGCTAATATTTTTTAGATGCATGCATGCAATAATAAATCCTAATCGCAAACACCAATTTATCGTTCATCGATTCAAAGGTATTGGAGTTATGACTCAAACATCAGCATTCTCTTGCGATCATTTTATCTCAACTATGTTGACACAGATATTTTCGCTCAATCGTCCATACGTGAAAACTCAATATCGCAGTTTTTGTTAGAGATCACTTTGAAATGACTAAGAGGTTTTTTTTTCATCTAGAGCGTCTGTTGAACAGCATGCGCTAATTTTGTTTAGACAAATAGATCTTTTCTACGACGAAGTTCAGTAGGAAGCTTCAATGGAACGGCGACTCTATACTGAAAGTTTTAGAGCCATAGCACTGGAAATAGTCGAGTTAACGTTACGACATGGGTTCCCTAGCTGCGAGCTTGCTAAATTCTTAGAGCTTGAAAATGTATCACAAGTTTTGATGCTAATTAATTAGACATAGGGATTGTCTTTGATAATAGAAAAAACAATAATGACTTGTGAAATAGCAAAGTGACAAATAAAAAGTATTTGAGTGCATATTCCAACTGAATTTGTTTTTCACAAGGGGAAGATGATATTTGAATCAAAGATCTATCACATGTAGACTAATAAAGAGCAAGATGTCGTTCAAAGTTAGCATTTAGTGTCATACGTATTCATTCAAAATATATAAACTCAATATCGTAAATAATGGTAGTACTTTAGAATGGTGGCAGCTACTTTGTCTAGAGCTGCGCATTGTCAAAAAAATTAAAACCATCTATCGAGAAACATGCATCTTCGATAAAAATCAAGTCTGTTTGTAATCGACGATGATTTTACATTGATGGTCTCTTACCTATCTCTGCATATTTTGACCTATTTTCTTCATAAAAATACGCCTAAAGTTATAATAAGTGTACTATTTCAATGCAAACAATATTAATAATATGACACAATCTTGGCTTCGTAATAATACTGAATCAAATACTCGAAGTCACAATAAATATTCAAGAACAGTTTTATAAATAATCTTGTTATACTTCTCTCTCACTCTAATTAGGAAACGTTTGATTGACATTTTCAACAATAATATAATACAATTTATGATACACGGATAAATAAATCAAACGTCAGTATGTACAAAATCTGAGTAGATAATGAGATCTTGTAAGAATCTTACACTAAAATTGAATGTACGTTCATTAGAGTAGGTCATTTTTCGTTCATCCCCATGTGATCTTTAATTTTCTTTCTTTTTTTTTAAGTTCATCACTAAATCTTTATCTCTTGTTGTTTGATTAATTATTTAATTTGATTCAGAATAATATTTTCACCAATCAAAAACTTACAATCACATATGGTACAAGCTTTTACGACTGTATACAATAAAACTTCTGCCATAATTGGACACTCGAATAATATGAAGTCTTTTTTACCATCAACAAATTGTCACTATTGAAAATCGAGTTTCATAAGTTAATCTTTAAAAAAATTACACTGTATACTATAAAAAAAACAACAAGCTTTTAAAAGTATCATAAACTAATATCTGATCTGATTTTATAAGTGTAAATATTGAACTCGAGATAAAATCTTCCAATAGTCTATCTTTTTATTTCTTGAATATTCATAACTTCAATTTTCCAGAAAAAAAATTCTTTTTTTTTCTTCCGTTATTTTTTATGTAGCAATTAAAAACTTGAGATATAAAAATAATAACACGCTAACAAGTTAACTTGTGATCGAACACATTGAACATGTATGTTTTTATAATAAATGTTAAGTTAGCTTTCAACTTACATCCGGTTTCCTAGCATGAACATGTTCACACTCGCACGAGAGAGCAATTGAATCGTTTAAATAGACGAATCAGATTAGTAGTAGTAGAAAGTAGTGTATTCATCACACAGGAAGTCAATAGAGAGTGAGCCTCAAGCAGTAACATGCATGCTACACATACATAGACATGTTTTCCTTGTATTTCCACTTCATTTGTAATAGTGCTGGTATATTATTGCACACACGTTTGTCACGGAAACTAGTATAGGTTAACTTCCGTATGAAAAGTTGTTGCATTTGATTTAAAAAGCCGCTCACTAGAATAATTCATGCACGAAAAGTAGGCAGATGTTATTCTTCTTTTCCCTCTTCATCATCATAGTGGAACAGCATTCGTTCTTTCAATGTTTCTCTTTCTCAAAATAGAGTGAAGAAAAAAAAAACATATAGACATATACAAGTAACGGATATTCGAATTACGCTCGATGTCATCACTTCCTCAATGTGTGTCGATTAGTCTCTCCATTTTCTTCTAAGTGGAATAGATTCTTTTGCTTATCATGAATCCCTATTGGGTAATTGAGTCAATCTTTTCCTTTTTCATTGGTCTATTATGAGAGAAAACGAGCTGGCAAGGAGAGAGAGAAAGAAGAAGAAGAAGAAGAAGAGCAGAATATTTAGCTTGTTTTCCGGCACACGATTATATTTTTTTAAATTTGCATCTTTATATGTTAATCAACGTCGATTAATATATTAAAATGAAGAATTTTTCTGTACAATATTTACTTTCACATAATGATATTAAAAAAGATATACCGCCGGTAGTACCAATACCAATTACATCAAGTACAGTAAATGCTAATTCATCAGATGATGTTGGTAAGAATATTCAATATAACTCTCCCCACCTTTCCAAAAAAAAAAAAGTTTTTCTTTTGTCTATTATTCGTTTATTTAGAAGATGATAATCATTCATCTGTTTCATCATCTTATTATGATTCATCAAATGATGATGAAGATGATGAAGAACAACAAACATCAAATAGAAATCCTCTTAATAGTAGTACAACATCAGAAGATAGCGAAGCATCAAAATATCTTCAACAAGAACATATACATCATCATGAAACATCAAAAAGACGTAAAAGACGAGTTCTATTTACTAAACAACAAACATTTGAACTTGAACGACGTTTTCGACAACAACGCTATTTATCTGGTAAGAAAAATGTTCTATTCATTTGATTTTGTCTTGTATTAATTATTCTTATTTTTTTCATAGCACCAGAACGGGAACATTTAGCTAGTGCAATTAATTTATCAGCTACTCAAGTTAAAATTTGGTTTCAAAATCGTAAGAAAAAAAAAAATTATTTTTCATGAAAACAAAATAAGAATTGTTTTTTAGATCGTTATAAAATGAAACGTTCACGTCCCGACAAAAGTAAGATTATGATCATTTTTATTTATTTTTCTATTAAGTTTCTTATGAAAGGTTTACTTGATACAACAATATCTACACCTCGACGTGTAGCAGTTCCAGTACTTATTCGAAATGGTCGACCATGTCATCAACAACGTTTTTCTCTCCCATCATCATCAACATCAACAGCAGCCGTTTCTAGTCAACGCCTTCATGGTCAGTCAATAACAAGCAGTAACAGCTCATTAGTCGAAGCATCATTATCATGCAAGAATGATACTCCTCCCAATATACTATTTAATGACAGGCAACATATGAAATGTGACAATATTGATTTATTCCAACAGTTTATTCTTTCACAATGGGCACTTTCAAAAAAATTATTTTTTCCAACAAGCTAGATGAAAATTGAAAAGAAACACAACAGTTATTAAATATTTGCCATAAATTATCTTTGAGAGTTTGTTTGTTTTTTTTTCTTTGTTTTTATTTGTTTGTGTTTTATTAGAAATTTTATATTACTATTATTATTATTATTATTATTATTATTCAAAAACAAAATCTATCTTTTCATCACTTAATAAAAGAAAACAGGTGTATTGATTGGCATTGAATTTTTATAAGAGTTAATTGATTCTTGAAAAGAGATGAATAATTAAAGTTCTCGAATAATTAGAGAAGCATAAGTATTATCTCGATTCTAAAAAAAGATCTAATTAATATAATCAATGATTCATATAAGAAATATGTCTTTGCTAAATCAATATAAATTAATCTTGCAATGAAGTTTTACATTTAAACAATACATATATTCTACTATATAGACTAGATGACTTTAATGAGAGCAACAAATGACCTATATTCTGTGACACAGTGCATCATTATTCTACTTTTAATTGAAACTATTTTTATACATGCATAAACCTGGAAGGAAAGTTTCAAAAAGTATTAAAATAGGTTTTGCTACAGAAAATATTAGGCCAGAAATTAGCAGTCTACAATAGTTATCTCAGCGCGTCGTTATTAGAAATGGCTTCTCTAATAACAACTCTCCACTGAAAAAAAACAAGCAAAAAGTATAGTTTTTTCACGTTCTTTCTAAGAAATAGAGAAAAAAGCTTGCTTACACTTTTGAGGATCTTATTAAGCACTAAGTCGATTAAAAGACTTATAAGAAATATATTTTATCTTGTTTAGATCAGAAACTCGAATAAAAAAATATCTAAGATCATGAAACAAATCAAGTGTCTTATAGAGAATGGCGGGCAATTAATTGTTTTTTGCTCCCATTAACTATGCAACTAGTAAAATAGGCGTATCATTGTTTATATAACAAGAATAAGTTTTTACTTTCGTATCGTGAGAAGTTCTGATAGACTTTGACAAAGAAAAACTCTGAATAAAATGAGTCTATTTTCAATGAAATATTGCGATGCTCTATTTAGTGAAAATTAATTCTTTGAACCTTTGAAAAATGTTTTAAATCTCTCATTGATTCTGCCATATCGATCATTAAAGACAGTAGAGGGAGCAAAAATAAAAAGAATTCTTTTTATATTTGGTGGAAATTTCAGTCAGAGAGTAACTGAATGATCATAAAGTACGCAATAAACTTGTAAAAAAACGATCAAGGCTTCTCACGATAAGTAAGTGGAAACTAATTATTGTCACATTAGCTGGTCGTCTGTATATAGGATAATTTTTTTTATTCGAGTTTTTTAAGTGTGTATTAGAGATAGGATCGGTTACCATTTTTGCCCAACCGAACCGAACCGAAAAAGTCTCTACTTAATGAACTGAATATTTGAGACTTTGTTATGGAATTGAACTGAGAGAAAGCGAAGTTTATCTTAAACTAATAAGGATTTGAGTGATATATATACGCAACACCAAATCAAACAATAGCAGCTAAGAGTAATTAAGATTTAGAGAAAACAAATAGTAAACATTATTCATTTGATCTTCTAACTGTATTATAACATCCTTATCTTCCAAAACAAGTTTAAAAAAGAATATGTGAGATAATATATGAGTTACAAGCAACAGATAATTATTGTACGATTATATTTTTTTTTTGCTGCCTTACTAAAAACGTCCGTTCAAATTTAAATTGAAAGATTATCTCGATTCTATCTAACCGAACCGAACCGGTCTCATCTCTGGTGCGTATCTTATGAAGAGATATTTTTCAAGTGTCGATCATAAAATTTTTCCTGAGGTTTTTTGAAAACGTATGAGGTTTTTTCATATGTATACTAGGTGGGTAAAAATATTATTCCAGGGGGGTAACACTATGATTTCAAATAGAAGACATAATGAATTTTATATCCAATGAAAGCTCGTCAAAAATGGGGTTTATTGATACTAAATAGTGAGGGTTATAAAAACTTTTTAATATCGAACTTAAGAAACTTTCAGAAATTTTATACTTTTTTTGGGATGGGAAAGTAAGGTGCCAGTAATTCNATTTTCAAAGAGACAAATCTGTAAGGTACAGCGTTCTTTTTATCACTTGTTTCCTCATAAAATTCTTTATCTTTTGAGCACATTTATATTTCTCCAACTTGAGCTCATTGGAAAAAAAAGTTCAAGTATAATGTCTTTCTACACAAAAAGGATGAAGTGTTTGTCACAACGTATTGCGAATCGAAGATAATAAAAAGAAAACGATACAAACTCCAGGAAGTTCATATTGTACAATATTATGGTTTCATTTTTTTTAGCATACCTCATTAAAAAACACGATTTTTTCCATAATTTAAAGCTACTAATTCAGAGACAGTATATAGTTCGATGATATGAATACATGTATCCAGATTGCTAGAAAATTCATTTAGGTCTGACTTTTATCGCTTCATATCATTAATTAATTCGTCTATCAGAATGAATTATGTACATGAAACTACCACGCCCATGATTACTCAATGAATGAATATAAATACATTCGTTATGCGTCGTTTTTTGATGGAAGATTGAACATGATTAAGGTATATCTTAAATCGAAAAATATTTGTAGATCTAAATTTTCAACTTTGACATATTTAGATAAAAAAAAATTTCGAACTACAAATGCGATACTCAATACGATCAATTAGACGTCAATATTTTATTTTATCGATTAAATTAAAATTTTACGAAACTTTTTAATTAGAATAGGAATTTATTAGCAAAAACAATTTCAATTTTTTATAAATGATTGCTTCTATTTTGTTGTTTTACTTTTATTACTACATTCATATCAGTATTTGTTTTGCTTATCAAATTAGATATTGACTTTCATCAATATTTTTTCTCTGACATCTCATACATGATTCATGAGTTGTAAATAATTCATGTTGTTCACAATTTTTTTGATGATTTAATTTCATTCAATTTACTTTTTAAATAATTTTTCTTTTGTATTAAATAAATTAATCTTTTCAATTTGATATTTGTTTCTCTATAATTATCTGAAGCTAATATTTTGCAATGACAGCAAATTTCTTATTAAACAACGAAGATTTATTTCTTCCCATAATATTTTTTTGCTATCGAGATATCTGATTGATGCCTGCCAATGAGCTGACATATAGAATAATACAATGAAACAAATGAAGGAAATGACTGTTGAGAAAAAGAAACCTAAGGAAATAATTGGTACGTCACACAATAGTTTGTTTTCATGTTGTTTAAGAATCAACAGGGAACACATTAATGATGAAAAGACTATGATAAAAAAAGACTCATATATATGCATATATATATTCTCTTTTAACAAATTTTCTTTCGCGAATATAACCTTGATTTTATACTTACTTCAAATAATAATTCTCGATACTCATAACTATTTTATTATTGATATTCAATTTGTAGATAATAATGAATAATATAAAAGGTAGAAATATTAATTTAATGTTGAATAATAAACACGTAGTAGAACACGAAGAAGAAGACGAAGAAGAAGAAGAAGAAGAACAATGGAATCATAAAGGCTTAGATATATTAAATGTGAAAAAGAATCTTTTTATTAATACTTGTCAATCATCATCAATTTTTTTCATCATAGTTATTATTACAATTATACCAAGTGAGTTTAATTAATTAGAAATTAAAATTAATCAAACGATTTATTCTGATAGAAATTTTCTTTTTCGATTATTTGAAAATCTTTATTAGACATCACTTGAAATAAATATGAAAAACAATAAGAAATTCTATAGAATAGAATATATACTTCTCTTCCCATAAGTCTATTTATATCTAGGAAACAATTTGTATACAGATAATGACATATTATTTCAAACATTCTAAAATTAACCTTTATTCATTATAGAATATTGTCTTTATCTAGGACACAGACTTGTTTCATACTCATTGATAAAAAATTCATTTTTTTTTGTTTTTTAAGTTTCACAAGTATTTGTTGGTTGGCATTATTCCGATGCATGTCCAATCAATCAATCAATTCCGTATTATTTAACTGTAGCAGGTATTGTTGGTCTTGTTCTAGTTATTCTAATATTTGTTTCCCAATTAATGGCTCGAACATTTACAAGAAAAATGTGTGATAATGTTATTGATAGAACAAATCAAAATCGAACAACAATGCTTGTTGGCTGTGGAGTTTGTAGTATTATGTGTATTAATCTATCACTTTTTATATTTTTACTTGGTTGGTCTATTGCTGGATGGATATGGGTCCTTGGAGTATGGCACAGAGTGCAATATTATCATATAACTGACAATGATTACTGCCATCCAATACTCTATAAATTTACTTTTTCGCTTCTTTTATTAACAATATCTTTTCAAATGGTTTTATTTTGTTTTGTTTGTAGAAAAACATGTGTTAGAATAACGAATGCTCGAAAAAAGGAAACAATAACAATAGAAGAATTTTGAAAAGTTCTTCATTATCTTTAACGGGAAAATCGTTCAACGATACAAAAAAAAACAATACTAATGATTTTAATTTCATTAAAAAGAACCATTAAAATCATGTTTCATTTTATTTCATTAATAAATTTCATCGTTTATATTTCAGTCGAAAGATTAAAAAAATATCACAAATGAAAGAAAAACAACATGCGTAGTGATTTTCTTTCCTGCTTCCACTGAATATAAAAATACAACTAAAACAAGTATTCATTGAACAGTATATTTGACCAGGCCATTGTAATTTGATTTTTGTTTGTATTTGGCATAGATAATTACTTCTTTCGAACCAACAGTAATTTGTCTTTGTAGAGTTGGATCTGTGTAACCTTCACTGTTGAGCCATTGCGAGTCTACGGTCAACTTGACCTCCGTTGCACCTGGAACGATACAATGAATTGGAACAATAGAACCTTTCTTTAATACTCCATCAAGTGGTGTATAAATTTGACATTTTTTAGTTTGAAATTGACTATAAATCAAAGGAAATTTCATTGGTCGTCGAAGTTTATTAACATCAAGATCGAATCGAACAACAGATCTCGATGAAGATTCATTATCATTATTTCTTTTAGCATAAACAGTAAGTTCATGTAGACCTGTTCGTTCAGGTGCAAATAAAAGTTGCCAACGTTTTTTATCATTATTATATTGAGCTAATGATCCATTTTCTATTTTAACATTATTATATTTGATATCGCACGAAAGTTGAACATCATCGGATGCTTGTATAAGAACTTCAGCATATGACGCATTATCAGCCCAAATAACATTTGAACGATTTCGTGGTGCTTCAATTTTGAGACCAAGATCATAAAAAAGTGGCCACGTATGAGGATAAGATAGAGGTGGTGAAGGAATTTGTCTTGCTTCAATTTTAAATGCTACAGCAGATGTATAACTTTCAGGATCAGATTTTTTCTTAGCCATAATAAGTGTTTCGAAAAGACCATCTCGATCAGGTGCAAACTTGCATTGCCAAATATTTTTTCGCCGATCATAATATACTTGATAGCCACCGCGGACTTCTTGTTTTTGTTCGTCCACAAGACGTCCCAAAAGTTCAACGTTTTCTGGTGTTTTTATAAGAATTTGTGTATGACCAGCTCCATTATTAAGTTTAACTAGATGTGTATTTTGAGGAGAGATAACCTCTAAACCCAAGTCGAAAAATTTCTTCCATGTTTTTGGAAAACTTATTGGATTTAGAGGCATTCGCTTGACATCTAAGGTGAAATCAAATACTTCATGGTATTTGATATCATTCGCAGCGGTTTTTCTTGCATAAACTGTTATATTATAGTTACCAGTGTGAGGTGGAGCGAAACAACAATTGTACAATTGCTTTTGATCGTCAAAGATAACATGATGACCACCGCCGATTTCTTGACCTTGTAATCGAAAATTTGCTATAAGATCCACATCAGATGGTGTTCGTACAAGAACTAATGCATATGATTTGTCAGGAAGAAGATCGACATAAGCTTGATTACGTGGACTAACTAATTCAATATGTAAATCAAAGTAAAGTGGACGAAGATGAGGCATTTGTAAATATTGTGTCATTTTTATTGGAGTTCGTAATAATTGCCATTTTTCATTTTCAGGTAAATGATGATAAATCATTTCATTTGGACGTGGAAGAAAATAATATGATGATAATTCACGTTTAAATTCTTTTGCATCATCTAAATGTCCAGCACCCCATGTTGAATCCATTAAATACCAATGACGATCAATCTCAACAGCATTCCAAGCATGATCTGTTTTACTAGGAGCATCAGTACGACTTTCAAATCCATAACCTTTTGCATATCCACTGACGACTTCACATGGCATTTCTAATTGATCACATAGGTATTTATATAGATTAGCATAGCCAGCACAAACCCCTTTCTTTGCTTGAAACACTCCTTCTGCAGTTTGATCACCATATTTGCCGCTAAAATATGATACAGTATCATATTCAATGTTACATGCAATCCAATAGAAAATAATCCAATGATGATCAATTAAAGATTTTCCTTTTGAAAATGTTTTAATAGTTTCAGTAAGTTGTTGTAGAGATTTTGGTCGCCATGATTCGATAGTTGATTGATAAGAACGATTGTTAATAGCTTGTTGACGTTGTTGAATAAATGATTCGTTGAATGCTTGTGAATCAACAATTTGAATTTCAATATGATCGTTTGTATCAGTAGGCCGAGTTATAATCCTGTCATCATCTACTGTAACGTTTATTGGAATAGTTGGTTTTTCTGTAGTATTATCATTTGTAGAATCATTTATTTGATATTTTTTTAAATGACCGTTATAATCAGTTTTTTTTATTGTTGTTTCGTTGACTGTGGATTTTTTACAAACTTGACAACCCATTCTTACTTTGTATTGAATATAAAATGCGGTGCACGCCTGACGAAATAGTTTTTTCTTACTTCGAACTTATCTTGTCATGTATATCATTACATAATGAATCAGTATAGCAGAAGTGAAGTTTTTTTTTCTTGAGTAAGGTTTGAGTATTATTTATTGTGTATGTTGCTTTCAGCATACTTTTATAGACAGGTTAATTGGCTTCATTGGCAACATGAATATGCAAGGCAGAGCAAAGAATTAACTATTGGACCACGAAAAAAGGAGAAGAAAAAATTTTGTTTTTGTGTCTGAAGCATGTTTTTCAATCATGTTTCAAGCGATAAAAATCCCTACAGAAAAAGAATAACAAAAGGAAGAAATTATTTGCTCGCTTATAAATTGGAAACGGTAATTCTTATTAATGAGTTGATTTGTCAAAAGAAATATAACAAAATTCCTTTTCTGTATGTTGCACATCTGAAATAGTTTTAAATAATGTCAGTTCATCTTTTCATGTCGTGATTGATAAAGCGATCGATTACTTTTTTTTTAGCGTCGAGTGATGGGAAAGTGAACAACAAGAAATAACTGTGCGTTAAACTTCTTTCTGAGAGTGGCCAATTAATAGCTAAAACTTTGGTCCTTTACTTTTTCCTGTACACAAAGGTTACCAGATATGGGTAGAAAAAAACTCGAGTCTATAGATCTACGTATGTACATATTTCTCGCTTGCTGAATTATCCTGTTCTATATTTTTTATCATATCTTCTTTTTCTACCAGATCTCTTCAAAGAATTGATATGAAAGTTCTTTCTTTACTAATCTTTTCAAAAGCCATTCTCAAGGCATATGTAGTAAATCGTGACGTGCAGACATATCATACTTCTCATGAAAAGAAAAATACTGTGCAAAACAGCGTTCCAATGCCAAATTTTTGAAAAACAAACACTTTTTGAGTTCATATGAATCGTTTTTTTTTATTTCAATGCGCTTAGATGCATTTTTTTTCGTTCTATTAATGAAAAAAAAAGTAAACGTATTAGAAAAGCGTTACAGAACGATCTTCATGATGAATTTTTTTGGCGGGAGGGGGAGCAAAAAAGTTATTTCGAACAACTAAAATCAATATTTGGTTTTATATTTTGAGTAAAATTTTTTTTTTTATGAAATAATAATCTATCAACGTAAAGATAAACACTTTGCGATCTGACACTCAAAAATATATCTTTTACATAGAGTTGTTATCGAGATAAATTTTATGGCTACTACATAGCAAAATGTACTTGAATAGCGTAGGTAAGAAAGAATTTATTGTGTAATAATAAACGACAAGGGCAAACGAATAAAAACAAATTTATTTTGATTTAGTAAAGTCTTTTGAGTAAGTTAGAAAAGTTGTTCTGAATAAAAGCTCGAATATTTTTCATAACCTATTCATTTGACGACAAAGACATTTTAGCATGCATAGCTTTTCGTTCTCTTCAAAAACAGTTTTACGACTACTATCGATAAAATTCGTCTTTGATTGTTATTATCTACTATTTTTTTTTTTGTATCTCTGACTATGTTCTGTTCTTTCAACAATCAAATTGAGATATTGTAAAAATATTCATCTATCTCTGTTTTTCTTCGATATCTCCTATTTCGAATTGACGGATCTGCAAAGTCATTATGAAATTTAATCGCCAAAAAAAAACAGACACATGCAGAATTCTTATTTGATCAATATTTTCACTGAAATCATTGCTTTTTTTTTGTATTTGTGAATTAAAGTTACTTTGTAAATGATATATGCCCATACATATTAGATATGTTGAGTTTCACACAAAAAATGTCAGATACGTTAGTAGAAAGAAAAGAAAAAAATTAACAGATAATGTATTTAATGAAAATATATTGTATATGAGTGTTCACTTTTGGTTAGAAATATTAGATCATATATCTCTCGATGAACATTTGACGACTTCAAACAAAGTAACGAGAGAATATATTTGAGTTACTTTGCCAGAATCATATTTGATTTACCTAATTCCGTTGATATCTGTACTCTGGTCGTAATTATAATTTTATGAATTGCTCAGATCTACAATTTAAGAAGCTTAGCAAAAGTCATATTTCAGTTTTTTTTCTTGACAAAGCTTTTTCCTATATCCGTTTATCAATATTAATTAATTTTATTCTGACTGTCATTCGACCAAACACTCCTTAGTAACTTCTTTGTTCAAAAAAATTCGAAAGATTTCAAGAAAGATTTCTCATTGTCAATATTGCAAAAGACAAAATATACTTCACACCCTTATGTCGTTTCCTGCGCTCTAACTAACGTGCACTACAATAGTCTAAATCTGATAAAAAAGATTAATATAAATAAACGAATAAAAAACCTTTCTATAGAAAACTCCGTTCTTCTACCAAAACAGCTCATCGTATGCGACACATTCTCGAACGATTTATTTGTGCTTTCAGTGAAAACAAAAAATGCTCTCCTACACAGATTTTTGTGAACTTTGTTTTTATTGGAAATAGTACATTCAATCAAAAAAATCCACTGAAAATTCATCTAACAGTGCCTTGTCTTGATTTTGTTGAATATAAGCCACAATTACATATTCATTGAACAATATATTTCACTAAGCCATCGTAATTTGGTTTTTGTCCATATTTAGCATAGATCACGACATCACTCGAACCAACAGTAATTTGTCTTTGTAGAATTGGATCTGTATAACCTTCACTGTTGAGCCATTGCGAGTCTACGGTCAAGTTGACCTCCGTTGCGCCTGGAACGATACAATGAATTGGAACAATAGAACCTTTCTTTAATACTCCATCAAGTGGTGTATAAATTTGACATTTTTTAGTTTGAAATTGACTATAAATCAAAGGAAATTTCATTGGTCGTCGAAGTTTATTAACATCAAGATCGAATTGAACAACAGATCTCGATGAAGATTCATTATCATTATTTCTTTTAGCATAAACAGTAAGTTCATGTAGACCTGTTCGTTCAGGTGCAAATAAAAGTTGCCAAAGTTTTTTATCATTATTATATTGAGCTAATGATCCATTTTCTATTTTAACATTATTATATTTGATATCGCACGAAAATTGAACATCATTGGGTGCTTGTATAAGAACTTCAGCGTACGATGCATTATCAGCCCAAATAGCATTTGAACGATTTCGTGGTGCTTCAATTTTGAGACCAAGATCATAAAAAGGTGCCCATGTACGAGGATAAGATATTGGTGATGATGGAATTTGTCTTGCTTCAATTTTAAATGCTACAGCAGATGTATAACTTCCAGGATCAGATTTTTTCTTAGCCATAATAAGTGCTTCGAAAAGACCATCTCGATCAGGTGCAAACTTGCATCGCCATATATTTTTTCGTCGATTATAATATACTTGATCTCCACCTTTGACTTTTTGTTTTTGTTCGTTCTGAAGACGCCCCAAAAGTTCAACGTTTTCTGGTGTTTTTATAAGAATTTGTGTATGACCAGCTCCATTATTAAGTTTAATTAGATGTGTATTTTGAGGGGAGATAACTTCTAAACCCAAATTGGAAAATTCCTTCCATGTTTTGGGGAAGCTAACAGCATTTTTTGGTTTTTGTTTCACATCTAGGTTAAAGTCTAATGCTGAAATATATTGATCTGTATCTGAATCACCTCTTTTTCCATAAAAAGTTATTGTATGTTTACCAATGTTTAATGGTGCAAAATAACAACGGTAAAGTTGTTTGCGTTCATCGAACATTATATAATGACCACCTTCGATTTTCTCATTGTTTAGTTTTAAATTAGCTATAAGACGAACATCTGAGGGTGTTCGTAGAAATATTAAAGCATATGATTTACCAGGAAGAAGATCGACATGAGCTTGATTGCGTGGACTAACTAATTCAATTTGTAAATCAAAGTAAAGTTGACGAAGTTTTGGCATTTGTAAATATTGCGTCATTTTTATTGGAGTTCGTAATAATTGCCATTTTTCATTTTCAGGTAAATGATGATAAATCATTTCATTTGGACGTGGAAGAAAATAATAGGATGATAATTCACGTTTAAATTCTTTTGCATCATCTAAATGTCCAGCACCCCATGTTGAATCCATTAAATACCAATGCCGATCAATTTGAACAACATTCCATGCATGATCTGTTTTACTAGGAGCATCAGTACGACTTTCAAATCCATAACCTTTTGCATATCCACTGACGATTTCACATGGCATTTCTAATTGATCACATAGGTATTTATATAGATTAGCATAACCAGCGCAAACACCTTTCTGTGCTCGAAACACTCCTTCTGCAGTTTGATCACCATATTTGCCGCTAAAGTATGATACAGTATCATATTCAATGTTACATGCAATCCAATAGAAAATAATCCAATGACGATCAATTAAAGATTTTCCTTTTGAAAATGTTTTAATAGTTTCAGTAAGTTGTTGGAGAGATTTTGGTCGCCATGATTCGATAGTTGCTTGATAAGAACGATTGTTAATAGCTTGTTGACGTTGTTGAATAAATGATTCGTTGAATGCTTGTGAATCATCAACTTGAATTTGAACGTGATCAGTGGCACCAGGAAGTCTGGCAATGACCGTATCGTCGGCAGCTATATTTTTGTGTGAGAGAATAGAGTCATCTTCTATATTGTCATCATCACTATCATTATCATTATAGTTAACTTGTCGTTTTCCGGAGGAATATGCTGGAGTTACTTTACTATTATTGCAACCCATCTTCCCCTTTTACTCAATAGAAAGACTTTTTCGAGCAAAATGAAAAAAAATATTTGTCTTCTATTTTTATAATTCATGTTTGTTGCGTAGTAGAGCAGCATAGTTGCAAAAAGAGTGTTTTGGATAGTAACAATAACTGATGCAGTTTATTGGATTTTTTGTTGACAATGCTGTTTAAAAAGACTAAATTCCGTTATAAATAGAACGAGAGGAGAGAGAAAAGGAAGAAAAAAGTGCAACATTTATAAAAGTAAATGACGCCAGCGCATTTCTCTTATTTAAATATAAATCATGCAGGAATTTATTTTTCATAAATGAAATTTACACAGAATGGAGTAGAGCATGAGAGGAAATAAATTGGTTTATGTTAGAAAAAACTTCTCAGTTCAATCTTCGATAATCTAAAATATAGGATTTACCTGTATCCTCTAGTGTTTATTACAGTAATACAAATTATGTGTAGAAAAAATCTCTAATTGACGATAGTTGCTTTTCAAGGAGAATTAATCGTGAAAGAAACGATCTGTCGTATTGGTTTGGGTGTGGGTGTGGGTGCAGTGTGGGTGGTGTGGGTGTGGGTCTGCGTCTTCGTCTGCGTCTTGCTTCTACCCACACCCACACCCTTTGACTGTGTTTGATGATATACTTGAATTTTTAATTAGTTTGATTGGCTTAACGTTGGTGTTATTGGCATACACTTTATTATTGCAGATATCAGGCATGACTACATTTGCTTATGTAATATTTTCAAAAGACTTCATTTCATTGATAAACTCAAGAACCAATTTCTTGCTATCGTACAGAAACTGCTGCGTGTTTGTCTTCCTGTGATAGTTTAAATAGAACCGGAATCACATGATTTGCAAGGACACGACCTATTTTACGATCTTATCGTAAATCAACTCGACGAGAGATTAAGAAAATTGACAGTGGTCATTCTCATTTTTTGTCTATTAATATGTGAATAATTTCTCTTGTTAAATAAAAATATATATTTATTACCAAAAGCTTAGTTATGGTCACAGATAAAATGAAATAATATATTCAATTTAATAGTTAATTTAAGATAAAATGTACAAATTGTAACTTTGACAAACATTTTCGTCAAAGTTGTAACTTTGACAAAGATAGTCGTCAAAGTTATAACTTTGTCGACCGGTGTAACTTTGATACAACATATATACCCCTGGCAAAAATAAGTTTCCCTCTGTATTTTGAGGATATTGTTACCAAAAGAACATATTTTTTAAAAAGTAACGACATATTCGGGAAGCCCGTGAAATTTTACATCTTTCTGTATTTTTATATTTTTGTTCGGACGGCTGTATAAAAAAATTCTTCCAATGAAGTGAACACACCTTTAGTACCCCATTTCGATATACCTAATANTACCTGTATTTTATCTCATGTATAAAAGTAAATTTTGTTCATATATTTATATATCGAGAAAGATAATAATAGAAAAGTTAAAACTTGCACAATCAACTAATCTAATTGCGAACTTTGTTCATACAAAATTTGAAGTTGAAACTCATATATGACCTAAGGAGGATCACATAATTTTTTGTTGAAAAATTCAGTAAAATTTCGATATCTCGAGAACGAAAGTCCATAAAACAAAACCATCCTAGACTTCTCTATTACTTTCTAGTACTCATCAAATGAACATTGTCTTGATCGAAAAATGATATGACTTTTGGAGACGTATCTATAACAAAAATCAGATGAGATAATGTTCGCTTTCGTTACCAATGCATTGTGTATTTTATTAGTAATCAATCATGACAAACTAGAGAAGTAGCTTACCCACTGTCCTTAGTATAGATATTCACTGCATTACTTCATCCCTTCAGTTGTGTCTATTTCATATAGAATACGAATTTCTATGCCTAGGAAAGAGCGAGAGAGAGAAGAGATTATATGGTTTAATTATTTGCACAGTTCTCTCTTGAGGTTGACATTCAAAATCCGATTTTTATAATATAATCGATTTCGAAAATTTTTTTCTTGATTGAAAAGAACTAATTTTGTTTCGTATTTTAGTTTTGGTGTTCTTCTTTGGGAATGTTTAACAGGTGAAATACCTTATAAAGGTTTTGATCCAATGCAAGTTGCATTTGGTATTGCAACTAATAAATATTCTCTTCCCATTCCAAGTACATGTCCCGAAGAATTTTCACAATTAATGACAAGTATTTTATTTTATTATTTTTTTTTTCTCTAATCATTTTTTATTTTAAAAAAAAAAGATTGTTGGAAAATTTGTCCACCTGATCGACCAACATTTAGTATGTTACTTGAACAAATAAATAAAATTATTGAAGTAAATTATACAACTAATGAAATAAATCATATGGAACCAAATGAAGAATCATATCAATCATTACAAAAAGATTGGCGTCAAGAAATTCAAGATATGTTTAATGAATTAAAAGAAAAAGAACAAGTAATATAAATATAAATATAAATATATTTATTTATTTATAATTAATAAATATAAAATATATTTAGGAAATTCGTGATCGTGAACAAGCTATTCATCAACGTATATTAGAACAAAATCATCAACGTTTACAATTAGAAAAATGGGAACAACAATTATATGAACGTGAAATGCATATTGTTGAATTAGAATTACAATTATTAATAGCAAAAAATAATCAACAACGTACACATCATCATACACCAAAACTATCAAATCGATCTGGAGGATTTTTTCGTTCAATTCTCAATGGAAATAATAATCTTTCATCTAGTACTAATACATTAATTAGTAGTCCAACAAGTATGTTTTCAGAAAAGAAAAAAATATACCAAGTAAACCATAAATAATACTACGATAGAAATTTCTACTTCTGTTTATTCAAATTTTGAGTTGTTTCAATGGTTAGGTAAAAAAAAAAAATTTGAATGAACTGAAGTGAAGCAATTTTAATTTTTTTATACGTAGTATTATCTATGTTTCAATCTATATATAATAAAATTAAATCATATTTAGATTTTCGTCATTTAATATCTGTATGTCATAATCAACCGACAATTGATCCAACATTATCACCAAATATTCCAATATTATCTCCATCATTTTCATCATCTACATCATGTCCAATGCCACCTAATTCAATAAATAATCCATCTAATTCTCAATTTAATCGTTCATATTCAAGTAATAGTACACCAACAACACCGAATATGAGTCGACTTCGTACATTAACTTGTACGTATATTTTATCGATTTTATTTATTTTTTTGCTTCGTTTCTATAAATTCAAATAATCGAGATAAAAAATAAAACAAACGAGTGATTATATACATATACATATATATATATATGTGTGTATATCTAGCAAGTGGAGATCTTATTATACACAACCGTAATCACGGTCAATTTCTACTGATTGATAATGGTAAGAAATAAAAATAAATAAATAAATAAATAATAGCTTCTTCTATATGAATAACATTTAACAATATTATCATAGACATAACATTTTATGTCAATTGAAAATATTTCTTTTAAATTTTCGAGACGATAAAAAAAAAAAAAAACTATTGTTTGCGTAGTTTTTCTTTTTTGATACTGCTTCTAGAATATTTAATACCTTTTTTTTTTGATTCTATGCTTAGCTGATCTATTTTTCTTTTTAATAATTATTATTAACACTTCTAATATAATGCATGAATAAAAACTAAAAAACACATTACTGAAATAAACATTAATATTAATGTTGAAAAAAAGAAATCTATTAAATAGTTTTTTTTATAAAATTAAAGATTATTTTTGTTTAGTTAATCAATTAGTTGATGGATGTAATCCAACAACACCACCTGATAAACCTCCACGTTCAATTAGTCAAACCAAATCATCTGGACGTAAATCTAAATCATCTTCAGCTATAAAACGTAGACATGGAAAAACACATGTACATAATGGTGAAGCAAAATGGTATTTAGAAACATTATCATCAATAAATACAAATAATAATAATAATAATAATCATGATAATACAACAGTATCAAGTACAATATCAACTCCAATTATTGATCGATCAACTCGAAGATTAGGTAAAATTCAAGAAAAATAATTTTTATTGTGTTTTTTTTTTAAATCTTCTTATTTTTCCAGTTTCGGAGAGTTCTGATGAATTAAGTAAGCTTTGACTAATAAATAAATATAACATATTTACATTAAATTTTCACATATCTAGAAACAAACAGTCATTATTAATATATCTTGTATGCTTAATTGATTCTTTTCTTTTTATCGAAAAGACAAAAATTAAAAAACACTCATAATCATCTTTAATATTAATTTATTTTTATTCATTTCAAAATATTTATATATTTATCAATAGTGAAAATAATAGTTCTGTCTATCATTATCAAATTCAGCTATGTCGTTAAAGAATTTAATACTTAACAAGGAGCTCCACAAAGAAAAACAATTTGTTTTTTTTCAATTATCCAATCTTAATGAAATTTTTAGAGGAGATATATCTTGAGTTACACATATCATCGTTAAAATTTCAGCTCAACACATTAAATCTATAAAGAGTTACTATAAGATTATGCAACAAAATATAGGTGTCGGTGTGACTGTCTATAAGCTTTTGATTGCAGAACAGGATATATCTAGATAGACTTCCTCTATCCAATGATGTATACATTATCAAGTTCTACTGTGTACCGTTGACATGTCAATTGTACCTAATAAAACCTGATAATATATATACTATTAGATAGAGAAATTTTATCTTATCAAGTCTAGATATATTCCGTTTTGTAGTCAAAACTTATAGTCGTCATTCTCTGCTATTTCAAACGCTAGGAAGCTCGGATTACTTTTAAAGTACAGTCACAACCTGACACTACAATTTAACAGAATCCAATTTTTCCTATTTTGTTTTTTTTCCGAAAGCTCTTCTGGTAAAATACGATAAAATTATTCGAAATATTGGTTCAGAATGATTCGTTTTTAGTATATATTAAAGGAAAAATCCGACTTTATTAAATTGCAGATTTGATATTTTGATGCACGGAAAAATCAAAATAAAAAAGAATCGACTGTGAGGAAAACGTAATATAAGTGTCAACACTGCAATTCGAAACTTTTTCGCTATATGAAATGAGATAGGTACATTTTCATTCCATTCTATAGTTTTTCGTATTTCAATGTTGCATTCACTTATTATACTAAATGCTATATGATATTCATGTCCCTCACTGCCCAAAATCAATAGACAAGCTTCAAAAATTCAGAATAAACGTTATTTTCTTGGCGAGATGGAAGCTTAACAAATTCTTTATACTATTAACAATTATATAATCTTTTGAAATGAATATTTAAATTTGCTAATCTAATGATTTAACTATGATTTAGTTCTTTTATTTGATAATTTAAAACTAATAAAAAAATTCTTTTTTTCAAATGTAGGTTCATCTTCATCTTCTCTATGTTCAACACCAAATGATCGTTCATTAGCACGTGCTGTATTTGATATAAATTCCATGTTATTGAGTGTTGGACTTGGTCATCGTATACCTACTCCAATCGATTCATCTTCAATTCGAACATTTCAACAACAACAACAACCGACTGTTGTTTGTTCAACAAATGAAACAGTAAAAACAAAATATCATAAACAAATTAATTCAATACCATTAACAAACGATACAACTAAACAAACAACTGAATTGATAAATATTGATTATCGATCAGAACCTTTTTGTTCACCAATTCGACCTAATTCACTTATACTTTTATCATCATCATCATCCTCACAAAATTCTAGTCAAAAAAATCCAATTATATCAACAAGAATAGAAAATCAACAAATAACAGATGATGATAATGAAAAATATTATTCAGCACAATCATCAAAAATATCAACACCAATGATACATTCAGTGGATTTATCATCTTATAGAGAGAATTTTGAAGATAAATTAATATTATCATCTATAATTGATATTGACAATGATGAACAAAAACGACATCATTCAACAAAATTATTACCAACACAAATTGAAAATAATAAAAACTTCTCAATTTCACCTCATGTTCTTGCAAAAGATTTTCTCAACTAAACAATGCATTTTGTTTTCTTTTTCCTTTTAGTTTTCTTTTCGTCTGTATTATCGATATATATATATATATAATCTTATACATAGCTTGTATTATGATTTGAATGTTCTTTTACTTTAATGTATTTGTGTATGTGTGCGTGCTTACGAAACATTCTCTATTTTGACTAAATTATATTTGTTGTTTGTGAAAAAAAAAAAATTTATAACTCGCATTTTATTTGTATATAAATAGAACAGAAAGCAATAAAACACAAGAGAATACATTTGAAAATTTAAATTAATAAAAATTTTATGATTAAGTATAATGTAGAATAAAACTTACAGTTTCATATATAGAGAAAGTTAAGATATCAGAGGTTTTTGTAAAATGATTTTTAATCAAGTTTACAGACGTATTAACCACCGCATCTCCGGAAATTAGATTGGTCTCCGGGAATTTGTACTTCTCATACCATGCAATATATGTCTGTGTTCCCAAGAATAGATATGTACATGCACCATAGTTTTAAATCATCACTCCGACAGAGAAGATTTGGATAAAACACTGATATATTTTATGAAACAATGTTTTAGGATGATTTTAGTGATCTATGAAGTTTTATTAGAAAGAATCGCTGATGAGCAATTTTCGAACTAAAGCTAATATAAATATATTTCGTTTCATTTCAATTTGGTTTATATTCTTCTTATGAAATAAGCTAGAAAAATTAATTCAAATGAGTTTATCGAAGTGTTCACCATCATTGATATTTATCGATTAGTTTTTTGTCGTATTGTGTTAATTCTCAGTAGACTTCAATGATTTTCAAGAGATTCGTACAGTTACTTTTCTTCATAGAGTGAATTATCAATTTTCGTTACGATATTTATTTTAAAATATCCTTATAATCACAAATTAGTAGATTGAATATTCAGACATTTTTCTAAAATATTTGCAAGTTGATTTGACATTTACATGTGTTTCATATATCAGCTGATATGCAATTCCGTAGCGGATTTAGTATCTGTTATATGTATGTTATCATTACGTATATAAAAAAAAGAACATGAGTCATTCTGCTCTGGAAAGTTATGCTAGTGTTTATATATACACAAACGTGATACGTAGATGAAGCGTATTTTCTCTTTTTCATATATATTGACAAGTGTGAGTCAGAGCAGATAGAAATCAACGTCGCTCTCTGTTCTTTCTAATCTGTTTTGCCTTTTTTGGTCATACCGTGATGCAACAAAAAAAAACAACGTCATATGAGTGCACGAATTCTTTACTTTTTTCTTTCTCGTTCTTTTTCTCTTCTTGTCATAAGGCATATTATATATTTACGAAGAAAAACATCAATTGCGTGTTGTTTTCTTCAATGTCTGCAATTCCAATACTTCAACAGCAACTTTTTAATTGTTGTGCTGATTCTCATGATGAAAACAATGATAAATTAATATTATTAAAAAATATCTTAAACGAAATTAATCAACAAGACAAACATTATTTAATCGATGTTGAAGATGCAACTCATCGAGCACCATTATTTCATGCTATTGAAAGTTACCAATCATTAGATTTCATTAAACAATTACTTGATTTTCAAGTTCGTATTACAAATCGAATATTACTCTGTGCTATTCGATATGGAAATATAGATATATTAAAATTATTACATCAATATGGTGCTGATTTTAAACAAACTTACTATGGCATATCACTTTTACATGAATGTATACTTTTACATAAAAATAATCTAATTAGTTTTCTAATTGAAGAAGGAGGTGTAAGTAAAATTGAAAGATTTTTTTTTCTTGTTAATAATAAATCAATTTTTTTAAAAATAGATCAATCCAAATACTGTTGATTACGATAATCAATCTCCATTGTTATATGCTATATTTCGTACAAATGTTGAAGCAATACTTATTCTTCTTGCTTATTCATCAATAGATCCATGTTTGATAAGTACACGTAAACAACAATTAACTTGTTTTCATGTTGCTTGTGAATTGGGTATTGATGAAGTACTTCCATCAATAATGAAATGTATTTCAATATCGAATATAAATAAATTATCGAAAAGTGATCAAACTCCATTTGATCTATTTTTATCATGTTATTTATTTACAAAAAATAATTTATATATGAATGAAGCTTCATTACAAAAATTTTCATCCTTATTTGATTTATTTATGTTGAATGGTGCAAAATTACATCATTTAACAAAAGCTTATCGTCGTACACGTTCACCATATGTAACAAAAATTTTAACAATACTTTTTAAAAAACAAATATTATTTTCTGATATTATACTTCAAACAAATCGTTCAACTATATTTGCTGATTTACAATCAGTTGTTTGTCAATCATTAGGTGATTGGCCTTATATTGTGGAATCGAATGATGCTATAACAGCAAAACAACGTCAATTAATACTTCGACAACTTTATGAATTATTTATTACTGTTTATTATAAATCAATTAATATTCAACCAATTAATAAAAAATTATTAACAAGATATTGTTCAGCTAATGAAAAAGATTCAAAAATAAAACAAATTTTATGGTTGTATATTAAAAATTTTATTGAACCAACAAAAACAATTGGACTGTTAAAATCAATATGTCGAACAAAGATTCTTCTAAATATAGATTCGATTGATAAACATTGTACAGTATCCGATTTAGGAATTTCAAAAGATCTCGAATATTATCTTTTATTTTTTACAATGTATTAAATAAACGAGAAAAAAAATTTGTGTAATCTCATAAATTTGTATAGTTCGTTATTGTTTTCTTTCCTATATAGTCATAATAGAAAAGCAATCATGATAACATTTCATAGGAAATTAAGTTATTGTCAGACAATTATTTACGAATACATGTTTTGACAGATTAACTTCTCTTCATATCGCATGATATTAGTTTAGAAAAGAAGCGTTCTTCATCAATACATACATGATATTGAAACAATGCCAACTTGATCACTGAAATACAAATATAAATTGAAATGTGTATGTAATCCGGTAATTATATCATTCGTCGACAAACTTTTGTCGACAGGCATTTTCGTCGACAAAATTTGGTCGACAACATTTTGTCGACAATATTTTGTCGACAATTTTTTGTCGACGGATTCTTTTGTCGACAGACATTTCGTCGAAATTATTTTGTCGACCAATAATTTCGTCGACAAATATTTGTGATAAAATATTAATATTAAAAAGTACCAATCTATCTCTTTTTTTTATTTAATCAAAGAGATACAACAGAAAATAACAAATAGTATATTGATCAATATAGAACAAATTTAGGAAGTACAACCAGAAAAATTTACCATAAGAAGAAGATGACGAATGACAAACAAACAGAAAACTTTTTTTTTCTACTTTAATACTGAATCATTTCTTCTTTGCGACCAACAATGATAAACCTTCAAGGTATTCGATGAGATCAATCTCTTTTTCTTGAATCGATCCGTAAGAGTTTCAAGACATTGTTGGATGCGACAGGTTCGTTTTTCGTTGAGCACACAATAGATTAAATTGATGTTCGACGAAATATGTCGACAAAATAGCTTTCGACAAAAAGTCGTCGACAAAATGTCTTCGACAAACTGTACTGTCGACCAAGTAGCTGTCGACGAAATGCCCGTCGACAAAAGGTATGTCGAGGAAAAATTGTCGCCGAAATGTCTGTCGACAAAAGATGCTGTCGACGAATGATATAGAATTC